TCCATATTCATAAATAGGACCGTCAGTAACCCTCACAAAAACATTAAAAAATTGGTGAAAAAGGTATGACACCATAACGGCCCCACTGTGATGTCAAGGGTTACTGACGGTCCTAGTCATGAATATGGTACTAATTATTCATGCTAACTCCATTTTGCGCGAATTTTGAAACGTCAACTCGAAATGCAAAAATTTGTCACCACGAGGAATCGAACTAGGGACCCCTTTTCTGGTATTCAGAGGGCCGTTCAGGAAAAACGGACCATGGTTCTGTGGTTCCCGCATGTGCCCCTATATCAGAAACCGTTTTCAAAAAGCTTGGCACACCCTGAACGGACTCCCTTGTAAGATATTTCAGCCACTCTAACAATAAGTGAAAAACGCTATTCGTGGCTCAGAACTCAGAGATCGAACGGGAAAGGTGGACAGTACCTTTTTGTCGCTGTAATAATACCAATAGGGTTCAGCGTTTTGTGTTGTGTTAAGCGTTCAAACGCAACATTTCACTTTTGGACCTTCAGAAACGCAAGGGCCCGTGAGCAGCGACTGAAAGGTTGGTCTGGACCAGAATCAGGGTATTCTGTCGAATGGTGGGTTTTCGACTGAAAGATTGTTTTGCCTCAGAAGCAGGTTATTTTGTCGACTGGTGGATTTTCGATATGATGTCATACCACACTTTCACATGGAGCAGACTAGTTTTCCTTAATTTATTTGGCGTTTTTTCCTGTTCCACAACGGTCCATGTACATTATTGGATCCGAAAAACAATTTTTCATTACTGATAATGAAAACGCTGAAGGATTGATGCCTATTGATGAGAGAATACGAAAAAAGTTGAAGCAGTACGCGCACAACGGCGGTCGTCAACGGGTTAATATACGGATGACGAAGAGAATGTGACCGGGGTTGGTTGCGAGTGCGTAAATGGCTGTTAGTCCATTTCATCCGCGCAGCAGCTGTTACCCATATCCAGGAACAGACACTTGATGCTTTCTTTATTGCACGTGGGAGGAGTGAAGCTGTGTGATAGTTACAAAAGGCATGCTCTGCAGCACACCTGTGTTGGTTGCATTGTTTTGTTGTGGGAGCGACCGTAACCTTCTGAGCATGTCAAGGGTGCCTTCAGTAAGACGAGGGGAGCTACTCGCGTAAAACAGCCTAACGCCACTGAATCAGCTGTTGTTTGGAAAAAGCGAGCGAAGTCAGCTGAACCTGAGTATGGCCGGAATTAGCTGAAAAGACCTCGTAATCACTACATCAGTTTTCTTGATTCCAGCTTGTTTTCAGGATATCAGGGCAGGAAAAGCCGACCAGTGGGTCGACAAGATCGACACACGCCGACGCAAGGAATTCCATGAATGCTACGGCGATGATGCCGGAGTTTAGAAAGGAATTATCATCGCTCAGTAACGGGTTTTATTTATAAGACGTAAGTAACTAGTAAATGAATAGGTAACGTCTGCGGGCGCAGCTGGATTGCGGTGACTCGTGACTGCACGTTCATTTTCCTCGGTTCCGGTACTGGAGGAATAACTGACTGGCTTGTTCCCATATGAACATTTGGTACTATTCCGTAGATTTCAAAACGTCAAGGGCCCACAGTTGCACATGTGAAGCAGACTCCCACAACTTTTCCCACTTCTAACCCCCAAAGGCAGGATCCCAACATCACCTTGTCCTTAAGGCTTACATTTTGTTGGCTGATGATTTGCAGTTCCATAGGGCACGGACAGAACTTCGCATCAGCTCCTTTCTCTCCAGGTGGCCCTAGAAAATAATATATATATATATATATATCAGTTACTTCGCATATAGAAAGACATGGAACGCCACACTTAGGTATTGTGAGTACTTTTCTTCTCTACCTGAAAGTTCTGCGTTGGGAGTTTGGAAGATTCATTGAGGTATACCATAAACAATTTATACGGACCTAAACAACTAGGAGACTCAATGTACGAATCCTAGTAAAGCTAACATAGCCGACGTCGTTGTTCTGACTGTCTTACCCTTCGGTCCTCTATCTCCAACGTTCCCGTTTATGCCGTCCAGTCCATTTGGACCCGGTTGTCCTGTCGGGCCAGGTGGCCCGTAGATGTAATTTCGCTGCAAAATTATCATTCTACTTGGGAGATAGCACAAAATAGTTTTTATAAAACCTACCTTTCCTCGAGGACCTTGAGCTCCAGCCCTCCCAACAGGACCATCCGCTCCTTTTGGTCCAGGTTTGCCAATTCCTCCCTCCGCCGGTCGTCCGCTTGGACCCTGAGCTCCCGGCCTTCCAGGGAAACCAGGTGGTCCAACATCACCTTCTGGGCCAATGTCGCCTGAAGAGAATAATGAATAAATAAAGTTTCATGCAACAATCTCCCCTGTTGTTTTGTCATCTTCCTGTAGAATTCGTACAGTTATAACGGCCGTAAGAATGCTGAGTTATGGATGAAAGGCTTGGTTTCGTACGGGACTCGAACCTGTATGCCTCGCAGCCACTGCTCCGATGACACTACTGAGACCGCAGACGCCTTCACCCAGCTTTTCGTAAAATGTTTCTCAGTGAATCCTCGCACGGCAGGGACCTCAGCTCGTGGTTTAATCCGCGTCCCGCTTTAAGTACGTGCTCTTCCCCGAGCACTTGCGCTGAACCTTAATGTGGTACCGTTCAAAAGAATTCGCGAGCGAACTGAGCGAGAGTCTTCTACATAGAAGGATATATTGACAACCACAAGGCCTCATTTAATGGCAACACGGCGCCCACTGGTTTTATTGGCTGTTATTTTCTGCTGTCACTCTCCTAACCACACCTACGGGGCATTTTCAGGTGATAGAGCGACATTCTGACAAGTCACGAGCCAGCGATTCATTTGAAGGCACATCCCACAATGAGTTTTGGTGCCCAATCCCTTTGACCGGTGGAATAGAGCTGCCTAATGAAGCTGAAATGATCCTTTTCCTGGCTTGAAAGTGCACGACAGGGGCACTGTTACTTTCCCAGACCAATTCGACTGCTTCAGTTTTTCCTCATTAGCAACATGCAGGTGTCCTTCCATCCGTGCTCTCTTAGCTATTCTCTCTTCTCCGAGCTCACTGTCCCAAGACCTCAGCACAAGAAATGATTATGCCGCAATCTTAGCGTTTTTAAAGTACTCTTTTTCCCTTACCTTTACCACCAGTCCACTTTACACCACTGCTTCCATTTTCGTGCGCAAGAATCACAACATTCTGATCGTTTTATAGTTATGTTCTCTGACCAGGTGCGAAGATAATTCAGAAAGACCGTCTCAATCAAATCTTCGTGCTGTTGAAAGTTCTAGCTAGGTTCAGGCCTTGCGGTTTCAGTTCTGCAGAGATGAATACACTGATTTCAAAATCCTTGGCCCCAAAGGTTGCATTGCAGGTCGAACGCGCTATACTGGGATAATGCGTTCCCGAATGGGAGTCGAAAGCGTGGCGTATTTCAAGTGGACTAATGATCACCGCCAAACAACGCAGTCCATTTGTTCTATGGCGAATGA